TGGAACAAGTTTTTGATGTTCTAAGGGAGGAATCACTTATTATGAATTTGAAAAAATGCTCATTTATGACAAACAATGTCGTCTTTCTGGGGTATGTTGTTTCATCTGAGGGAATTAAGATGGATAAATAAAGAGTGAAAGCCCTAGCTGAGTGGCCAGTGCCAAAGTCACTCACTGAGGTGCATTCTTTTCATAGTCTAATGACTTTTTATCGTCGATTTATAATAAATTTCAGCACTCTAATAACACCAGTGACTGATTGTATGAGGGCTGAAAAGTTTTCATAAAATCCTGCTGCATAAAAGAGCTTCACTCTAATTAAACAAAAGATGATGTAAGCACCAGTTCTTGCCTTACCAGATTTTTTTAAGGTGTTTGAGATTGAAACTGATGCATCAAATATTGGCATAGGGGCAGTTATAAGTCAAGAGGAATGACCATTGGCCTTCTTTAGTGAGAAATTGAATGATGCACATAATAAGTATTCGGTTTATGACCTCGAGTTTTATGCAGTGGTGTAAGCCTTACGCTATTTGAGGCACTACCTGATTCATAGATAGTTTGTTCTATACTCAGATCATGAAGCACTCTGTTATTTGAGTTCCCAGAAAAAGTTGAATGCGCGACATGCTAAGTGGATGGCCTTCTTTCAAGAATACACATTCCTATTAAAGCACAAGGTTGGAACCCAAAATAAGGCAGCTGATGCTTTAAGTAGAAGGGTAGCGTTACTTATAACTTTGTCTATGGAAGTGTTGGGGTTTGAAGTGATAAAAGATCAATATAAAGTTGATCCAATTTTCAGCAAGGTCCTTGAAAGGTGTATTGATCGACGAGACACTATGGGTGAGTATCTCGTGCATGATGGTTGTTTATTTAAAGATGTGCGATTATATAGACCTGATTGCTCCCTAAGGGAGAAGATAATTATGGAGCTTCATGGTGGGGGCTTGGGTGGACACTTTGAGAATGACAAAACTATGGGGATGGTTGGAGAAAAATATTTTTGGCCACGTATGCAACGAGATGTTGATCAATTTGTGACCCGATGTCGAACTTGCTAAGTATCTAAAGGTCACACACAAAATACGGGTCTTTATACTCCTCTTCCTGTTTCAGATGCCCCATGGGTCGATATTTCTATTAATTTTGTACTTGGACTTCCATGTACCACACGAGGTAAAGACTCTATTTTTGTTGTTGTTGATCGATTTTCCAAAATGACACATTTTATTCCTTGTAGAATAACTATGGATGCTACACATATCGTGAATCTCTTTTTCAAATATATTGTAAGGCTACATGATATTCCTAAGTCTATTACATCTGATCGGGATATAAAATTTTTAAGTCATTTTTTGCGCACTTTATGGAAGCGCATGGGAACCAAATTTCAATTTTCTAGTGCCTATCATCCTAAAACAGATGGACAGACCGAAGTAGTGAATAAGAGCCTTGGTAACTTCTTTAGGAGTATTGTTGGTGATAACATATCTCAATGGGACCTTACTTTGCCTCAGGTTGAGTTTGTTTAGAACAGTTCAATAAATCGATCTACAAGAAAATCACCATTTGAGATTGTTAATGGGCAGACGCCTAATCATGTGTTGGACCTAGTGCCATTACCTATACCAGGCAAGATAAGCGATGATGCCAATGCTTTTGCTGAGCATATTCGAGATTTGCAAGCTCAAATCAAGAAGAAAATTGAGGAGAGCAATTTAAAGTATCAAAAAGCCTCAAATGAGCATAGAAGAGAGATGATTTTCAAATAGGGTGACTTAGTAATGGTGTATTTGCGAAATGAAAAGTTTATGTTGGGAACCTATAATAAACTCAAGTCCAATAAAGTGGGTCCTTTCCGCATCTTGAAGTAATACGGGAACAATACATATAAGATAGAATTACCAAAGGTATTAAATATCTTCCTGATATTTAATGTTGTTGACTTACTTGAGTTTCATGGAGACTCTCTAGAAGTCGCAGATAATGTAGTTGATATGATGAAGAAATTACCACAAAAAAAAGATGATGAAATTAAGCAAGTTTTGAAGACTGAAAGCTTTCAAACTTGAAAGGGTTCCTATCGCTAATTTATAGTCAAATGAAAGGGCTTGCTATACTCTGATAGCACGTGGATTTTTTAGCTAGAGTTCAAAAGAGTGGATCCAAACTTATATCGCATATATACTGAAGCCAACTCGCCAGAGTCGAGTTCCTTTCAATTGGGGGAGCCAACTCGCCGGAGTCGAGTTCCGTTCAACTGGGGCAATGATGCAGTCATCCCCCTTCGTGACTGGGCCAAAGAAGAGTAGTAGAACCCAAGAGGAAAAGAAAGGGCAATGACATAATAAGGAGAATTATTAGGGTTATTTATTAGGATTATTTTAATTGTTCTTTTGTTCAGGGAGTGCATATGGATAATTATCAAGGTGACTTTAGAGTTTATATCGTGTTTATCTTGTATCGATTAGATTAGTTTAAGGGATATAATTAGGATAATGGTAAATTTAGAAAAGAGTTTATCTTTATCAACAATAACCATATTGGGAGGTTTTTTTGGGTAAAACATGAGAGAAAAAACGTGGCTATCTAGAAGCCCGTGGATATGAGAGAGAGAAAAATAGGGAAGCCTGTGGATATGAGAGAAAGAAAATAGGGATAGGTGTAGAAATAAGCTTTTTATTAGTTATCTTATTTTAGTCTATTTAAATGGACATCTCATTTCATTGTAAATCAGTCTATGAATTGAATAAAAATTGATCTATTAAAAGATATTGTTTTGGGGGTGGATTCATTGCAGACATTTGAGATAGGGTATTTTTCTTTTAACCTTAATTTGTTTTATTGTCAAGTGTAAAAGAGTTGGGTCATGTGGACCTCT